CTCCTGGCCTTACTACTAGTAACAAGAAGCTACTAGGGGCTCCTGGCATTGCTACTAGGAGCAAGGACGCTACTAGGGGCTCCTGGCCTTACTACTAGGAGCAATGTTCGCTACTAGTAGCTCCTGGCCTCTGCCGGCGCAGATTGTGGTCGCATAGCCTTGGAAAAGGTTGGTCGTAGCTGACACGGCTCTGAGCCGTCAAATCCAGAATCGACTTAAGATCAAAAGATTGTAAATTATGTATGTGTGTGTGTGTGTCATAATTAAATAAGCTGTACAAGCGCATCTTCAATTATTATCACTTGGCGTTGTCATGTCATGTGTGGTTTCCGAAATTGAGAGCTAGACTGCTAAACAAATTAATGAAAGTGGGTTCTGATTTCTTGAAATGGTTGCAATGAAATGGTTACAATGCCCTTTGCTCCTAGTAGCGTCCTCTTGCTCCTAGTAGTAAGGCCAGGAGCCCCTAGTAGCGTCCTTTGCTCCTAGTAGCGCATCTGCACGAGTGTTTGGGACAAATGAGCATAAGTGGGGCCGTAGATGGGAAGCTGCGTACATCAGGCCGGGGGGCCGCTTCGTCGTCAACGGTACAGTGCCTTACTTCAATAGCACGCCTTGCAGCAGCTCCTGGACAGAAAAACAAGCACAAGAAGCAATCAGAAGCACCTGGACAAAACAGCGAATCAGGCAAAATGCCCGCCCCTCACATTTCCAAAGACGACCATTCTAAGGTTCACCTACAAAAGGTTGAACACCCAAAAAGGTACGAGTAACTACAACATCTATTCATATCTATTCTATGGCCGCCTAGACGAGCCATTTCTGGCATGTAGTTGTCGACGGTCTGAAGACGATCTCCAATCTCTGCGCTCCACTTCCCGCCTGACCACCCTCTGTTCGCGCATGGCGTGGCACTATTCGGCCGGGTGATCACAGCAGTGCTCGGGCGACTATTCGGCTCGGTGGGGGGCTCATCGAAGAACATCTCCTCAGATCTGAATATGTGAATGAATTCTGAGCCCAAGCCAAATATTAAACCAGTCTACAGTCCCTTCAATTGTCCGACGAACACGTTCTTCTCTAACTTCCAAACCTTTTTCATCTGCTATGGCGTCAAGCGTTGACACTTGACACAGGTGGCTTTCATCCAAGAGTGTATATAGACATGTCAAGTGGAAATGTGCTTTAAGATAATGTTGGCTGCGAAGGCGCGCTTTGTATCGACTCCCGTGAAAATCTTCGGCGGTACCTCAGTGTGTGCTGCTCTCAAACGAGTCATTGCTCTTTCGCAAGCCTTTGTGACAAGAAAATAGAAGATGTTCAGAACAAGCTCCACGTGGCAACTTGGATATCGTGAAGAATATGACGGCAAAATTTAGAATCTAAAATAAACTAACAACATCATAAACAATCATAAACATGAGATTGGTATGTCCAAGGTACTGCTCATCTTCCTTATCAGAAGCTGCGCTGCCACTTATGCAGCTGGGCTCATGCCGGAGAGTTTGCTCCGTTTGCTCCTGTTTCATTAAGTCCTGAGTCAGGAGAAAGAAAACATCTTCACGACTGTCTATATAAGTGAGTCTTGAGAAGACCCGACAAACACAGCTTGCCACAGTTTGGGTGTCATAGCGCAAAATCGCTAAACTGCCGGCATTGTTTTTTTTTCAAAAAGGAAACTAACACATCATCAAGTCGACTCAAGAGGCTCCTCAATCTTGGCCACCGCCGCAAGAGGTTGCCGTAGGCGTGTGAGCCACTGCCTGAGAGTTCAAGCCCGAGAATGCTAAGTTGAACTAAGGATCGCCCGGAAATACCGTTTTGGCGCGTTCGGTATTTCCAAAACGGCGTAACGTCACCACCTTGGCCTGAGGAAAGAATGTGAAGATATGTGAAGACATGACTACGACATGTGTTCATTTGGTACGTAGTTCCTCTACATCTAGCCATGGCGCTGGACCACCTTGTCATCTCGTTGTTGCTCCAGAGTATGAAGTCGGCGTTTGGGCCGCCTTCCCTCGGCAAACATAGAGCATCCTTTCCGTCTCAGGGAAGCTAGGTGGCATCTAGTAGCAACACTTGCTTATCTGGGTTTCTACCTAGTTGTTCAAGGGCAAAACTGATCCAAATTATTCCAAGATTCCTGCTGGAACTCATGGTGGGGTGGAGCTTTGAGGTCCTCTTCTTGCGCTTTCACCTGCACTTGTTGCAGATCATGCAAATCCTGCAGGCTTTGCAGGTCCTGCACGTCCTGCTTCGACAGGTCCTGCATGCGAAGTCTCAGGCATTGAGCAAAGCAACTGAAGTGGTTCGATCATGCGAAGAATTCTTGTTTCTAATAGCTTCTTGTTACTACTAGTAAGGCCCTTGCTCCTAGTAGCGATGCACTTGTTTCTATGGAATTCTGGAAATACCCAGCCTGTTCCGTTTGCTCCACCACCTTCATCTCCCGTTCTTCGCGTCGAGCCTTTCGCTTTCGGGGCACCTGTTCGACCTAAAGCAAGGGAGGGCATCAGTTGCTTTGTCTGTCGGTGCTGGTGGAATCACTGCAGAAGAGCCACCTCCGGTTTTGCGATTTTGATGTAGGAGATGGCCGAGGTGATGGGTTTCAAATCGATCTCTTCCAGCGCCTGAGCGCACAACTGAATTGCTAAAATTTGCTGCCCATATGCCCATATCCCATATCTGCCCATTCTGCTTGGTATATCCCTTGACACAGTGTACTCACTTGCGGCCTACGTCAACACAGTCATATACGCACTGTCACTGTTCGCAGCGCAGAAAGTACCAAAACCTCGATTTCAGAATCCAAGCGCAAGTTTATTCTCACTAGGAACAAGAAGCTACTAGGGGCTCCTGGCATCGTTACTAGGAGCAAGGACGCCACTAGGGGCTCCTGGCCTTACTACTAGGAGCAATGTTCGCTACTAGGAGCAAAGGGCATCGCTACTAGGAGCATTCTCAGTACGCTCGGAGAGCTGGCTGAGACTGATTTCATCTGATTTCTCTTACCGGCCAGCTAGCCGACCAATGCGCCAGAGAAGAAACTCGTAGCGAACATTGCTCCTAGTAGTAAGGCCAGGAGCCCCTAGTAGCGTCCTTGCTCCTAGTAGCGATGCCATGGGCCCCTAGTAGCGTTCTTGTTCCTAGGTGAACATTTCACACTGAGTGATGCTCTTGTAGGATGCTCTTCTGCGAGACACTCTTCTAAGACACTCTTCGATGGCACTCTTGTGCGACATTCTTGTAGGGGATTCTCAAAGTGCACTGTCGCGACACTCTTGTAGGACACTCTGGCAATCTCTTGTTCGACATCTTCTGTGTGCCACTCTTCCGATACATGGCAAAACGACAACTACCTTCACGAAACGTCGCAACATTACAATTCTCTGGACCGGCCCTAAGAAAATGGGCTCCAAACACCTTCAGCATTGTGCTTGCCATAAGAAGTTTTTACCACACATGACTTGGGCACTTCCTCACCGCAAGCATCCACTGACGCTGCGATATTCAACACTTGCACAGGAACTGTGAATTGCACACGCAAAAGACGCCAACACAAATGGTTTTGCGATTGCACGGTGACGAGTTGAACGTTTCGGGGGGTATCAACACTTTTCATGGTATATAGACGCCGACTGAATCGAAGGGTTTTTGGTAATCAAAGGCCGCGAGGTAGTCCGAAAGTGCCAGTTCCTGCTCCCAAGAGAAGAGACTCGGAACAGTGAGAGCTGTGCTTCTTCTTGGTTGGCAGTGCATGCTACACTACCTCTGAAAGCAGCCACCATAAAAGCTGTCCTCCTACGCTATTTTATGCGAATCGGACACTTCTTCCATCAGTCACCTCCCTCCACAAACTTCCCCCAGGTGGAAAGACCATAGAGTCTATGCGAAAACGACCCCACCCCGTAACCCCCAAATTCAAACCCCCAGTTAAGCAAGAACGCTTCGCTGCGCATTCAGGAAGAATAGAATCCATAACATGCGAAGCTATACATTTAAGAACAGGAAAGCATGTCTGACATGTCCTTCTTCCATTTTTCCCCAATATTATCATTGGACGCCTGTCAGTTGCTCTTCGCTCCCCTCCTGCCCCATTTCCCGCCTGCTCTTCCACCGGCGCTGGCGGTGGTGCAGGTCTGGACACGCGCCGCTGGGCGCAGTAGGCACGTGGCTCTGAGGTGAGACGGGCCAATTCGAGGCCACCCCCTGGGAGGCGTTCTCTTCGCGGCTCCTAGTAGCGTCCTCTTGTTCCTAGTAGTAAGGCCAGGAGCCCCTAGTAGCGTCCTTGCTCCTAGTAGCGATGCCACTAGTAGCTTCTTGTTCCTAGTATAAAGATTTTGAGATTGGATTGAAGATTCCAGGTTGGATACCATCGCTAGATTGAAGATTCATGAAGATTCCAATTCGGCAGATTGTATGAAAACTGCACTCGGCCGTCGTATCACTGTTTTTGTGAACATTGAAGTTCCAGCGCAGCCCAGCTTCCAATGCGGGACCACGCAACCGGTGAGATGGAAGGCCAAGTAGTTCCTGGAATGGAAAAAGGACCAAACAAGTACAGTAGCCATCACGAAGTCACAAAGGAAAAAGGTCAGCTTCTATTCCTTAATTCATCCAGAAATTGAAAACACAAGCCCAAAACAACCGCAGCCTGAACACCGAGAAAAGGTTGTGCTGCAGCTGAAGCTTGGGTCAACTGATGAAGGTCTCAAGAAAAGGACAATGAACCCGGGAAGGCACCTGGAGCCTGCCCAGCAAGAACATGTGGTGGAAGAGCCTTGGAGAGCATCTCTTGACCCGCAATCTCTGAAATCTGCACTTAAGTATAATATTATATATATATATATGTAATTATCTTTTTGGAGCCATGTTGCGGATCTTTTGTTTTCCTCCTCAAGCATCTTCGACTCAATGCGCTTCAACCCCGCTTCGACGTCACCGGCACTGGGGAGCTCTAGTGTCTTCGCCTCGAGTCGGATCGTCCAGACCGTCCGGCGGACAGTGACGATCGTCTGGACAAACGTCCTTGCTCCTAGTAGCGTCCTCTAGTAAGGCCAGGAGCCCCTAGTAGCGTCCTTGCTCCTAGTAGCGATGCCCTTTGCTACTAGTAGCATTGTGTTCTTGGCTGTAATACATTGTTTTCTTTGCAGCTGTTGACAATTGACAATGTATGTCCTTTTTGTTCGATGTTTCATCTTTCTTGTGCAAAATCAAATCCACATCAAAGCCGTATGTTACAGGTTTCTCCTGCACCTGCCTCATCTGTCTGCGCCAGTACAGGCATCTTAGCTGACAGGCATCTAAGCTGACTGTCAACCCACAGGCAAACTATCTGACTTGTTCATTTAGATTTCATACCCAAAATTGCAGCATGAAAACAATGCAGCGAGCGTTCGCTCATATCAGCAACGAGTCATACTACATACTTATTGCGTCCGAGGCAGCCACCAAGCTCCATTGAAAGTCCTTCTCCTGAGCAGTGTTCAGATGATGTTTTCAGAAAGAAAAATAATAGAAGAACTTTGCTCAAAGGTTAAGTTCTACCCCGGAATTTGTGTCTGTGTGGGAGAGCCTCCTGATTCCTTGGAAACTGAGTCATCCAGAATGTTAGAAGCAACAGTCAAATGCAGATTGAAAATCAAGCCCATCCAGTCCAGGCCAGGCCAAAAAACATCTAGAGGTTTCTTTTGGCATTCGTCTCTTCTCTTTTAGACGCTCTTCTCTGCTTCAATTCTTTTCTTTGTATCTGTTTCTCTTCGATGTCATCCAAGCTGCGGAGCCCAAAGGAACCGAAGTCCAGGCCACCTCCTGTCAATGCTACTGTGCTCACCTCAACAATGCTTAAACTACGCCAGCATAGACCCCACATAGCAAAACATAGATTATTGTAGCAGCACCCTCCAGCACTCAAGCTCCAGAGTGCACACGGCCGTAGACATCTTGCAGCACCCTGGAGCGGCACCCTGCAGCGGCACCAGCCCACAAGCTCCGAAGCGCACAAGGAGGCACCCCTGGACATCCCGCAGCAGCGGCACCCTGCAGATCTGTATAGTTCTCGTTTCAGTGTATATGTTGACCAGAATGATGATCATCACTGCTCCTATTCTGATGAATATTGCAATTGACGAGAAAAAGCTTTGATGGCTACTAGGTAGAGGCCATCGCTAGTAGGTTGGAGGCCATCGCTCTTAGTCTTAGGTTGGAGGCCATTGCAAGTAGGTTGGAGGCTATCGTTCATTCGAGAAGCTTGCGTTTCAACTTTGAACATCCAAACTTCCTTGGACTTCAGAAGTGAAAGAAGCAAACTTGGCGGCGTCATGGTCGAGGCATCAGCAACCTGAAGAAGCCAACATCTCAGTCGCCGTGTTCCGCAAACCAAAGCGAAAGAAACCTAATAGCAATGGCCTCCAACCTAGTTGACGTAATGCAAAGTCAGGATTAATAAACCTCCCCTAGTTAATCCGAGCCCACAAAGCCCCCGGAAATTGCCCAAATTAAAAGTATTATTCGCTGTTGATTTCCCCCCCTATTGTCTAATTTTCTACCAACAACCCCCCCCCAGTTAATCCGAGCCTACACAATCCAACAAAAAATAATATTACTTTTAATAAGGGGTTAACTAGTGGAGGTTTATTTATCCTGACTTGACATTATACTTGCTACTGCTGCTACTACTACTACTGCTACTACTACTGCTGCTGCTGCTACTACTACTACTGCTACTACTACTCCTGCTGCTGCTGCTACTGCTACTGCTACTGCTACTGCTACTAGCTATTGCTGTAGCTATTGCTGCTGCTGCTGCTGCTGCTACTGCTACTGCTATTGCTACGTGCTACTACCACGACCACCACCACCACCATCACCACCTACTACCTACTACATGTTTGATGAAATCCTTAAAAATGTCTAGGGCTCAGGGCCTATAAATTGCCTTATTAAAAAACAATTAAAAACAATCATTTGACAAGCTCACAAAGGGTATCCCTCACAAGGGCCGGTCCCCCATCAATAATCTGCACTACTACCCCCTATTAATCTGATCCTGTGTCCCTGGCCTTTTCTTTGTGCTTGTTTAAACTTGTTGTGACTACTACTACCTACTACCTACTACCTACTACCTACTACTACCTACTACTACCTACTACTACCTACTACTACCTACTACTACCTACTACCTACTACTACCTACTACCTACTGCCTACTACCTACTTCCTACTACCTACTACCGACTACCGACTACTACCTACTACTACCTACTACCGACTACTACCTACTACCTACTACCTACTACCTACTACCGATGACGACTGCGACTACGATGGCTCCCTGATCCGATATTTCAGGGGGAGTGGACCTCATGAGTGGTATCTCATACCTTCTTGACCTTGTTGACCTACCATGTGGGGGGGGGGGGTTATTAATCCGGTCTTTGCATTACTGAGGATTCATCCATGCTTTCAAACACATCGCACAAACTCAAAGCCAAGATACAGGCACGTTGCCCCTGTAATCCTCGGTCGAAGGGCCAATTAATTTGCCTAGCGGCGATGGCCTCCAACCTACTAGCGATGGCCTCCAACCTACTAGCGATGGCTTCCAACCTACTAGCGATGGCCTCCAACCTAGTGGCTGGCATGTTGAGGCGGTTTGCTGTAGAGATGCCTACAAGTTATACGACAGTCTACCATGGTCTACCTTACGCCGTACCTAGTCGAGAAAACACAAAGACCCATGTCCCTCCGAGTTTTATCAGTGTTTCTGCCTTTGCAATAATTGGTCTCCGAGTATCAGTGAAATCGTTCCATCTTGAATCAGCCTCAAACTGGCAAGCGGCAAGTGCTTGTGACTTCAAGAACGACTTGCATGAGGTTTCAAATGATTCAGATCCTACGATTAACAGCTGAGGTTCCTTAACTTCACGGCGGCAATCTCCAACCTCAAAGTCATTCAACTCATTTTAACTCCACTAGATGTCGCATGAGAAAGGAACACATAAGAAATATCAGGTAATGGCGATGGCCTCCAACCTAATAGCTTCTAGCTACTAGTAGTTTCTTGTGACTAGTAGCTACTTGCTCCTAGTAGTACGGCCAGGAGCCCCTAGTAGCGTCCTTGCTCCTAGTCCTAGTAGCGATGCCCTTTGCTCCTAGTAGCTCGCATTAGAACACACAAGAAATGGTTCGATCCACGAGATCCGCACTTGTCGCATGCTCTCTTCCAATCTACGAAGATCCTGGCACAAGGCGTTGCGGATGGGCAAATGGTTCTTCACCGAGGTCGACTCGATGTGCAGGTCTTGAAGCTTGGCTACCCAGATTGGTGAAAAGAGAAGAGACAAATGTGCTAAAATGGACGATCTAATAGCGATGGCCTCCAACCCATGTTATTCTCATGTCAAATGATTGAAAGGCATCCACAGCTTGGATATATGATCTCACTCACCAAGTCTGAGTTCATTGATTCTTAATGCTTGTGCCTGGGTGACTTCAGCACCGTAGTCCTCAGCCTCAGTAGCCTGCGGCTGTCCCCCGCCACTTTTTGTCGGTGCATGAACTGGCACTTTGGACAACCTCTCTGTCAAAAAGAAGGGTGTTGTGGCTGAGGTAGGCAACAAGAACAGTACGACAAACAAAAAGTCGAAGGTGTGCCGCATGGAGGAGAGCCAAGAAATTCTGCGTGGACAAACAAGTGTCTGGAAATGCACAAACAGCAAGAACACGCAGTCAAGCACACATGGAACACTAATGCGGCACCCACAAAACACATCAAAAACATTGTTTTGTGTGTCTTTCCTTTTATCAAGAGAAGAAAAACAACACAAAACGCACTTCAAGACAGAAAAGAAATGTAATTCTATACGTAAAATAGTTTAGAAGAAAAAGGGACAAAACATCTTTTCTGTGTTGCACCGTCTCAGATGTGTTTTGCCCAAGCCATGTCTCCCTATTCAAACCGCCTCCAAAATGTGCTCTGACATCTCCTGGAAGACAAGAAAAGAACATTAAATGACAGGCTTTTGTTGCCCAGATCCATTTTTGCTTTTGGCTTAAGGCTTAGTAACTTGGGTAACATCGGGCGGCTGGGCCTTGGGCAGCTCGGCCAGCTCGGCCGTGTTTGCAAAAGCGTCAACTTCCTGAAAGCATGAGAAACCATGTGCCCTGGACGGAATCGGCTTCAATAAGCTTCCTAAACGCAAAATCGCATACCGTCGTATGAACGTATAGCTCTATATAGCTCTATAGCTCTCGACTGCTACAGCACCGTTCTCGTTTTGGAAGATCTGTAGTTCATGCGGTGTCTAATGGTGTCTAAAAACAGAAATCAAAATAGCAATGTTTTGATGGTTTGCACTTACTTTCAAGAAGAGGGTCGTTCGCCGGCAGGATGCTGATGACTGGAACTGGAGTCTTTGGACCCTGGTCTCTGAGACTGGGGACAGCCTGCCGAAACGTAGAACATGGAGATGGAGAACGTAGAACGTCAGCAAAATATTTGATTTGGTTGAGTCCTTGTCCACTTTCAGTCTCCTTAACACTACAGTTTCAGCACAGAAAGCACCTCGAAGGGCTCGTCTTCGTTATCACTGGAGAGAAAAGCCTGAAAGTCTTTTGCCTCAGGGAGTAGAAATGGCAGAAACGGGTCGAGGCACTGGAGCAATCTTTCAAAGCAGCGAAATGTGAAGAAATGCCCGTGCGTCGGTGAACCGAGGGCGATTGAAGGAAGTAGTTACGTAGTTGAGTAGTTTATCGGTTGCCGTGTTTCCACCCAAAAGCTTATGCGGGATCACGAGGAAAGAGCCTCCTTTTCTGTGTCCTCAGGGAGAGAGATGCAAACCTCCCGCAAAGGAAGAGAAATAGTCGCCTGGCGACAGTTGAAATCGATACAAAGACAGCAAAGGAGGAGGATGACAAAGACAATTCAACAAGTAACCTAGGGTGACTTGCACCGTGCGGAGTCATTCTGTGTATCATGACGTATCCCTTTCATTCAGAAAAATCGGAGGAGGCTCCTCAAAATGGTGCCTTTGCGATCGCCCCACCTCCCTGGAAGTGGGTCCGCTCGGCCACCGTTGGGACACACTCTTCACCAAATCCAAGGTCTCGTTTAATGCCTTGCGCCAAAATCGCAGACCCTGAACCCACAAAGCAGATCAAAGCAGCAAATGCGATATACCATTGCTATAATTCTAGGCAAAAGAAAACAATAAGTTTTAAACCAGCTCAAAAACTGTAAATGTCTCTAACGTTTCTCTCTCCTTCTCCCCTTGTTCATTCCGAGACTTCTTTCATGTTTTGTTCTAATTATGTTCATTGTTCTAGTGTTATGATTTGTCCAGATTCCAGATTTCTAAATTGTTGTTGGGTTGGAGGACATCGCAATTACGAGTAGGTTCCTTATGCTAGTAGGAGCAAAGGGCATCGCTTCTAGGAGCAAGGACGCTACTAGGGGCTCCTGGCCTTACTACTAGGAGCAAGGACGCAATTAGGTTCCTTATGCCAATCATGAAGACTTCCCGTGCGCTCCTTGGCGGACGCCAACGCTTTCCGAATGGTGTCCAGTTGTGGATGGGATAAGCTCTGAGCAAAGCGCCTTACACTTAGGCACCACGCAGAGCAAACAAAGCATACTTCAGCATGCTCGTATGGTCGGCTTTGGTTGATTTGAAAATTCTCACTTGTTGACGTCCTGGCAGACCAAAAGGCCCAATTTGCAGACACAGGTGCCCCGGTTCAGGTAGTTCAGGTTCGTCTTCCATGTCATCCAGGATCATCGCTGCTACGCAGCCATGAACTGCAAAGAGGGGCTCATCCAACCACCAACTTCCAAAATCACGAAAAACTCTAGATCCAAGTGAGCAAACGCGAAAGTCCTTGCTGGTGAATGAAAATGTAAATGTTTGCATATTTATATATACATATATAAATATATATGCTAGCCCCCCTAAAACCCATCTGCTTCTAACTTATCTCGAAGTTAGTTCTATTATTTTAGTTTTATGTTAATTCAGATTTCAATGTATTTCAATCTATGCGTAAATACTTTTTGGTTTCAGTTAGTTCAAATCTTATACAATTCAATTTCGGTTGTTTTACCATGCTAGTTTAATTCTATGTTGATTTCCAGTTCAATGCTGATTAACTCTAATTTAACATTAACTCGATTCTAGTTCAGTGCAAATTTATTTCTAACTCAACGCTAATTGAATTCGATTTTAATATGACTTTATTATTCTAGCGAGATGGTTTTGCTGAGGGTAAGATTTAAGAAAACAACATTTAGAAAGCAACACATTTTAAGAAAAAACAAAACTATCATTTTTGAAGCAAAACGCACTCTTTAGAAGCAAATTAGAATTGCATGAAAACCAAAAACAGGTCAGAAAAAGAATAGGGGACGAAAGCCAGCGAGAGACAAATATGGTAATGCAAGACTGGGAAGAAAAAATAGCGGAGCACTTATTGTTGAATGCCTGTAGCATGAAGTGTTGAATCTATTTGAGAATCCGGGAAAAAAGAAATGTCAGTGCTGTTGGGGACTTTACTTGCACCACTGATCCGCCCAACATAGAACCATAAGTCGCGGCTACACCTGTCTTCCCAGAGACATAGAGACACAGAAGCATAGAGACATAGAGACATAGAGTCAGAAAACACAGAGACATAAAAGACAGAGAAGTTGCTATCTACACGCACTCCGTTTCTGAGAGCAACTTGTCGTTGCCAACCAACTAGCATACTTGCCCCAAGACATCCAAGCAGACTTCTCTGAAAGGATGGCTAGGAGGATGGCAGGAACTATATGCCTCAGCATTGGTGTCACCAACCGTCTTCCAAAAATATTGCATAGATCCGCGACTATAACCCGTCCTCAAACAGCAATCTCTTCACCCCACCAAGTTGCTATCTACACGGGCCCCTTTTCTGATAGGCACTCGTCGCTGCCAACCAACTACCATACTGGCCCCAATACATCCAAGCAGTTCCATTTTGAAGCAATCATCATTCCCCAACAGCGAAGCGTAGGGGTCTTCTGCCATAGGAAAGACTTCGGAGCAGACTCAGAGCGAGCTTCGGAGCAGGTTCCGGACGAGGTTCCGCAGCGGATCCGGAGGGGCCGGGCAGTCACTTGCGCACTGGGAATTTCGGTCACTTGCGCACTTTGGGTCACTTGCGCACTTGGCATCAAAAATTTAGGTCACTTGCGCACTTACCTGCTTCCTAGCAACGGGTGGTGCCTACTCCACATGCAACTAGTGAATGGGTGGGGGGGGGGGGTGGGGGGGGGGGGGTTGCAGTTGCCAACCATACAAAGGGACTCAGAAGTGCTGAAAAAGTTGCCAAGTTGGACAAGGTCAACATCTTTACACACACACGCACGCAGGGTTCTATTCCGTAGTAAGCGTCGTAGTAGTAGTAGTAGTAGTAGTAGTAGTAGCAGTAGTGGCAGTAGTAGTAGTGGCATGCACTACTAGTAGTGGCAGTACTATTGGTGGTAGTAGTAGTAGTAGTAGTACTTATCCGATGTATGATACAGAGGCATCGGTCTCTCA